ACTAATTTTGGATGATATCATGAATAGAACAAATTAAATTAGATCCATCGACTTAATAAAAAAGGAGTGGAAACATTGGACAAGCATGACATATGCAATAACTAATGGTGGTCACAAGATAATCATGCTAAGCACATGAATGCTCATTATTTGGTCTTTGCTTATATACTTAACAACACCAAACGCCAAAAAGAATGAAGAGTAATCTAACTTAGCTTTCACTTAAGTCATTTGAAATTGAAATGGTTGCACTAGTAGTTATTATCTTATATAACTTTCACAACAATCATTACTTTGTTTTTTTGGGGCTACATTAATTTGTTAGTATATAGCTTCATAATTACTCTAATCCAAATTCCATGTATGTAGTTTGGTAAGCTTGTGGTTTAGTTAGACACTACTTTGTGTTACATGTTTTTTGTTTTCTTCTTTCTTACTCACACTTCCATTTTTACACTTGTATACATTCAATTATTTTGTTCTTTCACTATTTACCTATGTTTAGAATACTCATATACTGGTTTGACAACAATAATCATATATTCTACATATCATACTTGTTATTTAACTTTTAAGTACTAGTATAAGTGATACAGTAACCAAGAAACTAGTGAAATGAACTTTGTGACTTTGTGTCCCATAGTGAAATCACTAAATCAGCAATAAAAATGAAAATAAAGAAGAGAAAATGAATTAGGTAAACCCTTAAACGAGAAGAGCTCATTTCTGTCTACTTAGTAAAAGTAAGGAAAAAGGAAAGAAAACCTTTCGCAAGCAAATAATGGTGGAACTCTATACATGTTATCAAAATAAAAACCAGTCTAATCACTCTGACAATTATATTGAAATTTTAAAAATTAAAGATGAACCTTTTTTTTTCTTCAGTGATTATGAAAGTTTAATCCTAAAAACAACGATATCTTATACATATTAGTACAAATTCATTTTCTTAACAACTTTAAAAATGAGTGTAACACAAGGACTTCCAAGAGATCACCGATCCTATTACTACTTTTGTCTAATTACACTTAACTACATAATTCTGTGGTATCTGGTGTATTTATATATGTCCATGAGCTTTCAAAAAAAATTATTGTTATATTCATTTAATATAACTCTGAATTGACAACTTAAATTACTTTATTTTTTATTTAATTTTTAAAGAAAAATATATGCATCATTACTAAAATGTTTTTCAAAACCTAAAAAATAACCAAGATCATTGTAACAAAAAAAAAGTCAAACTCTAACCTATTTCGAACAAAAAATATTGTTTAACTAGGAGAAGAGTATATAACCCAATATATTTAAAATAACATAATAGAACAAATATTCTATACACAAAATTTCATTTTTTCAAATAATAAGATAATATTCTTTAAATAAGATCTGTATATAAACTTTTAAATACTTCATTAGTTAATTATTATAATTAATTTAATTTGAAAATATTTATTTCCATGAGCATGCGAGAATCACTTCATTATGTGATTAACTAGGAAACCTTTTGACTATGGGTTTTTTTTCATACGACACACCAGACGTTAATGTAAAAGAGTGAAGTTATATTGCAAAGTAACAAGAATCACTATCATTATCATACGATGTTTGTTGGTGACAGTGATTTAAATAATATATATGAAAATTAAAAATCAACATTTTTGTCTTTGCATCACCAGGTCCATAATAATAATAAAAGGGTACATAAGTTGAAATTTGAAAAGAGGAAGGAAAAATTCAAATTCGTTAATTCTCCTCTCTTCTCTTTTGAGGGTTTGAAATTCAAAACATTTTCTTTAGAGAAAGAAAACTCCCATAAATCGTTTCTCCTCCGCTGCTACTCCGACGAGATTTCTCCATTTCCTGTGAGGAGTTTTACACTCTCCAGCCTACGCCAAACTACTACGTTCGGATCGTTGCTTTTGAATTTGATCTGAGGGATCAGTTTTTTGCGTCATCATTCTCTCGATGTTCCAGGTTAGATTCTAAGATTTTCCCACTTCGAATCCCGATAAGTCTGTGTGTTAGCTTCGATTAAATGTTTATTTTTTTATTTTGATTCAAAATTAGATAAACCTAATTTGATTATAGGATTTCAAAATTAGAAACGGTCGATTCTTGTTTCCTTTTATGGCGTTAATAAGAGAGATTTAAATGAAGGATGAAAACTTCAGATGCAGATAGAGTTTTCCGTAAATTAATGAATTCTAAATAGTTTCGATCGACAAAACTTGTCTGCTTCATGAGAGACACAACACAAGCCGTGTTAATAAAAAAAATACTACTAGTAGTATACAATTCTTTTTGGATTCTTCATTTCACTATAAACTAAGAAAAAAAACAATAAGAAGAAAACTTCAAATTTACTTGGGAAAATCAAGGTTGATGGCTCGAGATATATATATTTTGGTCAGCACTGGCTCGAAATATTAAAAGGGAGTATTTCACATGGTCAAAACATTAACTTATATTTTAATTACCAAGAATCAAAGTGCGATTTTGCTATAATCACTTCATTGTTGTCACTAATACTGCAGAGTTTTACTGTTTAACTTAAGAGTGGACACTGATTCTTCTAAACACGTGGTCCTCTTTGTCGTCTCATCCCCTAAGCAAAACACATATTATGAATCTACAAATCTGATTATTATCTTTACTAATAAAATTGAGTTTTTTTCTCTCCTTAAGAGGAAAAATGCCACGTGTCACTTTAATTTAATGATTTTTAAATTTAACATATTTTGGTTATTTAATGAACCAATAAATGCTAATGAAAATTTAAAACATTAATTAAAAATAATTTTTTTCTTTCATTTGTATTGTTTTATTTTTCTATTTTAAAGAAAATTTCTAAATAATTTTAATATATATATAGTTATTTATGAATATATGGTATCAAGTTAATGTGAATTTGTTTTCAATGTACTTATATTTAGTTTATTCTTCATTAATGTTATATATACATTCTTATATAGTAAAATAGACTTTTTCTCCATAGAGGCGAAAAAATGTCATGTGTCATTTTCATTAAATGATTTTTTTTATATATTTAACATATTTTAGTTTATTTAATGAACCAATAAATGCTAAAGAAAATTTAAACATTAATTAAAAATAAAACTTTTACTTCATTAGTATTGTTTTAGTTTTCTATTTTAAAAAAAATTTACAAATAATTTTAATATATATATTTATTTATGAACATATATGATATATAAGTTAATGTGAATTTGTTTTTAATGTACTTATATTTAGTTTATTTTTATTAATGTTATATACACATTTATATTGTAATGGCGATATATGATTTATTAATTATAAAATATTTCAATTTTTTTGCTAAAATAAATATTTACACATCT